AATTACTTATAATGATCTAGTACATATAAGAAATAAAGAAATCAAAGAAATTTTGAAAAGAATTTAATAGTCTCGCTAGAGCTCGATCTTACTTAGAGAGACTAAATGTTACTGTAGTAACATAAATTTCTTTAATTTCATAATTTTTCAAACTTGGAAAATGCGACCAATTAATTGATCTTTGGATAACATGTGATTCCAAATAATATAATGGGTGTATCAGTTATGGATTCAGTCATGATTCAACAATATTTTTGTAATGTTCTTATAATATTTTTGTAATATTTTAAGATCATTAATAAATAATTAGCTCCAAAATTAACAACAGTTTACAAATAGTTCAATAATGATTCAGAAATACTTTAAAAATGATTCATGAATGAATTTCATTTATTTTTATCTTTTATCTTTTCTTTTTGAAACATATATCTTATCTTTTTATTTTATTTCATCATTTGTATTATTATTTAACTTATCACATATATCTTATTTCTTATTTTTACTTATTCATTTATTGATACCTTGTCCTAAAAATTGTAATTATAATCTAGAGTAGCAAATGAGTTTAGATAGAAACTTGTAAAATCTCAAAAATGTATAAATATCTCTACTCTAAAACCTAAAATAAACATACTTGAATAACAATAATTCAATTATCTTTTGAAAATACTTGAGTTATACTTATCTTGTAATTTTCCCTGTGAACTGACCTTGATATCTTGCTTTCAATTACCTCTTCTATCATAATAGATTATATTTTGATTAAAAAGGTTCTTGATAGCTTTCTTACATGCAAAAGCTTGGATTTGGCATTTGTTACCTCTATTGGAAAAGATTTGGTAAGCTTCTCTATGTGCAAAAGCTTTGTTTGGCATTTGTTATCTTTATTTTGATTTGGCATTGGTTGTCTTAGTTTTGTTTTAATATTTGTTATTAGTTTTAAGCATTGGTTGCTTAATTTTTGGTACCACCCTCTTAGTTTAGTATTCGTGATCACAACTTTATTTTATAATTTCATTTTATTTTGTTTTTATCTTGTGTTGATACAATACTCGTAAGTATTGGCACTAGGAAATCTTTAGAATAATTGTAATTCCCTTTACCTTTATAAATAATTCAGTCTTCGTCCTCAAAACTTATTATAAACTATATTCGTGGTAAAATCTACCTTCTAGAGTATAGTTTGTAATAGTATATCATATTAAATTTAGATTCTTATATTTAAATTAAAATAAATATATATTTAAAACTTACTTTTTAATTAATTTATGATTATTTAATATGTATATTAATTTTTTTTTAATAGTACAAATATTTGATTTATTGCATGATTAATATAAATTTCTGATAATATATTGTATAAATATATATATAGTAATCTTTAAATTAAGTTTTTTATCTTTTATATTATATGTATATGCAAAATATATAATTATTCTTTTGACTATTAGTACTATTATATTAATTTTAATAATAAGAGTTTTGATGCTATTTTTGAACTTTACAATTTGATTCAATTTGATTGGATTACCTCTTAATCATGTGATGCAGATCAAATATGTGACGGATATGTGGCAAAACCGGCTAAACGGCTTACCATGCTTTAAGGTGAATTTTATTTCTGATATAAGCCATAAGCCACAGGTTCATATAATTTTTTAAATTTTTTAGTGATTGATGATTTATTTTATCTATGAAACTACTTTCAGTGTTCTAACGAAAAATATTCCTCACTATAGACTTTACCATGCGATATAATCCTCTCCAATCGAAATGCTACATGAATTAATATTTTGGGTGACACCTATCAAAATGCTTTTTAGGTGGAATACCTCGTCACCCGGTGATCATAAATGCACCCAAATATCACCATATGACTAGACGAATTGAATGGCAATATTTTGGTACATTTATGTTCGCTAGGCGTCGAGGAAAGTTACCATACGAGCCAATTTACATCAAATTTTTCTTGTGCAGTGACTTTCGTGTGTGATACCTCGATACCCAGCGATTAGAATGACACCAAAATACACCATTCAATTCCTCTAGTCATGACCATTTGGATATAATTCCGACCGGATGTCAAAATATCACGTCCGAAAGTCACCATACGATAAATCGTTCACTAATATACATCAAAATTTTTTCTCTTACAGTGCGCAATATTTTGATATCCAGTGATCGGAATTACATCCAAATGGCGCCATGACTAGACGAATTGAATGGTGGTATTTTGGTGTCGAAAAATTTGATGTAAATTGGCGAACAATTTATCGTATGGCGGCTTTTGGTGAAAGTAGTTACACATTGATCTTGCGATTGATTTAGCGTTAGGTTTACCCCTATTCCAAACCCGGGATCGATCAAATTCCCGACCAAATTCTCGATCACGTGTCCGGGAATTTTCAAGTTCTCATAATTTCCATAAAAAGCAAACCTTCAAATTAAATTCAATTTTGGACACAAGTCGTAAATAAAGCATCATAATGAATTCATTGATAAAATTTTTTTGACGTTTATAATGAGGTAATAATCGAGTAGTCATTAATGATTTATGAATTGGTGAATTGCGGATTATTTTTTAAAAACATTCTTGCTCATAAAACATGTCATGTATTGAGAATTCTACCGAACATGAGCAAAAAGTTAACATTGTGCCGTTAGAGGGAATAGTAGTTGACCATACATCAATGCCGACGATTTCCCAACGTAATGTTAATTTTTCTTAGTTGCATCATAAATAATCTAATTCAATATTTTTGTATAAATTTTCAGATATTCTTAACGACACTTCAATTAATAACAAAGAACGTAAGAGACTTGATACATGCATATCACGTTCATGACATTTTGAAGTTTTAATTTATCTTTTCTTAATTCTCCAAAAAAAGATACTTCTTCCGGAATATTAAAAACCGAAATAAGTCAAACTGGCGAAAGTGTAATTAATTTATTTGAGATCGAAGAATATAATAAAAAAAGTAAGTCTGATCCTTATTAATCTATGAAGTAAATTACATAACCATAAAGGAGTTACTCCAACGATGTTCGTAGTTATAATTCGTATAGAACATCATAACCCGTTGCAAAATGATACAAAGAAGGTTATTGGCTATTTCGAGATAAACACGGACTTGATACCAAACGACGAAAAACAAATTACTAGAAACTTTGAGACGAATACGGGGCTAAAATTCTCGATTGCAATCTATGATATTACTCAATGCATCTGTAGGATTGCTTTTTCTTTTTATAACTTTTCCTTTAATCAGAACAAATCCAATCCCGGGATAGATGTAATCTTTAAATCAAGCGATAAGTCAATCCAAGAGAGATTTAATACAAGAGACATTTTTTCACTCACATACGATACATGTAATAATGCGGTGAGACAAAATGAACGATTTCATGGAGTTGGGAATGGAATTATCCGGTTACTTTTTGAAGACGAGCTGATCATATTGCGACGAAATAACTTTAGAATCATACCAGTTCTTTATCATCATCATGATTTGGGAATAATGAACGCAATAGAAGCCACAATATCTTTCCTTTATCGAGGCACTAACGTTAATAGGAAAAGACTAAACACCGATCATGCTTATCCACCACCAATGCACAGATTTGCGAAAAAAGACAAAATAACTGCAGAGTTTGTTGAGCACAAGTTGAACAATTGCATCATAGATAATCATTTTTTTTCTATCAGCCGTAAAAAAAGCAACAAGATCGAAAGATATAATCTCAGAACGGGTGAACTCGATAAATTGTTTAACATCATAAACGATAAATATGCTTATCATGAGGAGAATTCAAAGCATGTAATCAGGAGTTCGAAGATTGATTATATTGATTTGAAAAACAAGCGATATAAAATTTTACCTATATTTGCAGTTTCCACGAAAAATGATGAGAATCAAGAACCACAATATTTAGCGGCTACAATGGGTGATAATACATTCACAATACATTTCCTCCCCAACACAATCGATTTAATAACGCGCGAGTTGCCTGATAAAAATGCAAAAATCAAGTTTCTGGCATTTATTGCAAAGAATACAAAACTTTTAATAGTTTTTGAGAAAGAAGCGACATTAGAAACAAAAGCACAAAGATTATCTTCAGTATCATCTTCTATTCTTATCGAAGATAGCGAGAACGATGAAAACGATGAGAACGATGAGAACGAAGAAAGAAAAACTAGAATTCATGAAAAAGAAGTTTGGATTTGGAACATGCCGGGAACCTCAACTTTTGAAAGTTATCAAGAAAATCGGATTTTGAACGATATAGCTGATAAACTTAATATCAGAATAGAAGAGAAAATCCATGAGTATTTCACCTTGCGATTCAATGACGGTGATGATTTTGAATTTTTTAAAACAAAAAACCGAATTTACTTAAGAAAAGATGAAAGGTTCGAATTATTTTACTCGAGCATAGACTCGGAATCGAAAAACACCGAACGTAAAAATCCACATAGCAAGAGTATATTTGAAAACAAAAAATCGGACTCAGGCTTGGAATCAAAAAATTCTGCGGAACTTGTTAACAATGATAAAAAGATAATATTTTGCAAAAATATCAACAACAAGCCAATGAAAATAATAGTGACAAATAATATCTTACAAATTTGGACAAAAAATTCAATATTTGAATCAGAAACCTTATTGAATATTTGGTCTATCCCTTCGGTCTATTCAAAATACTTAAAAGATCCTGTCATATTTCTTGAACTTGACGTCGATAGATCAACCATAATTGATGAAATTAAAATGAAGATAAAATCTCAAGACGAAAATGAAACAAGCACAACCTTTGAACATTCCATTAAGGTAGAACCGCATGCTACGTCTATACTAGGAATGATAGCTGCCCTCAAATTGATACTAAAGCAAAAACAAGAACTTGAGAGGGCAGCAGAAGAAAGAAAAGCAGTCGATATTGAGAAAAAAATCGAAAAGCTGAAAAAGCTTCATCAAACCATAAAACATGCCGCACCTGCCATCATTGAAAAAGCGATCATTGATGCGGATCATTTTCGAATATTAGATGTTCGTTTCCATATTGTGGCAACAATGATCGAAGCGGACTTAATAGCAGCGGTTCATGAAATTTTAGAATATTCTGATCTAAGGTTACATATTCCGGAACAAGTTACACAATGTCAAAATAATGAACCAAGGTACAACTTCGTGTGCTTTCTTCCTAAACTAGTGATTAACAAAGAGCATCGTAGCGCCTTGATGATTGCGAGTGATCATTCTCAACATGATACAGTGGAATCTCTTTTAAATTATTATTGTAATAATGCGAAAAATCAAACAAATTGGATGGAAACTGTCGTTCAAGCTTTACCCGAATTGAGCGCAAAATATCCAAGTATATATACCGATATCATGATTATATTACAAAATTTTTACATAAATGAAGATACTATTACTAATCGACAATTTTTTCTAGAGCTTGTGCGTGAACTAATGACAAATGATATTTTCTATCAAAAAGAAATACCTCTGGATAAATCATGGAAATTTTATCGACCAGTTGACAAATATGGTTCAGTCCGAGCATTTTATTGCGACTTTAATCTTTTCGATAGATTTCGTCAAGAGCAACTAGAAAGAGTGGAAAATGAAAAACAAACTCACAGCTCTAGATATCGAAAGACGAACACGAAATATTATGAAGTCCCACTTCCAGGCGTGATGCAAAGTTCCAAAAAGCGATATAGAGATGCAATTTTCGACTTCTTTTTTAATTTCTTATTAAACTTGATTTTGCTGGAACGAAATCGCGACAATAGAAGCCCATTTTTCTATCTCGTAATCAACGAAAAAACCGGTAAAATTTTTGATAGTCCTTCGATTGAAGCAATCGTTGATTACCAATGGTATCATTATGCTCGAGTCTTTCTTATTATACGATTCATATTTTATGTTCTTTACTCGCTACTATTTGTGTGGCAAAGTTTTACACATCTAAATAAGGTTGTGTATGGAGTAGCGGTTGGTCCTTTATTTAAGCCGGTTTCTGGCATAATTTGCGCATTTGCATATATACATATCACTGGAAAAATACGAAGAGGCCGTTATTTGCCTTTGTCACAACGTTTGGCATTGATATTATACATATTCGATTTTTTTGGCTCAACTATGCCTCTCATTGGATCGGTATGGATCTTGTGGATTCATTCGCATTATGCCGACTTGTTATCTTCTGATGATACAGAAACTCTTTATTGTAAACTATATAATAATGAATGTAAAGCTCAAGTTATCTTTTTTTCGTTAATCGGATTATTATTATGGGTCGTTTTTGTAAGTACTTAATTATTATTTTATGATAAATTTTTATAAACTGAGATGATAGCATTTCCATTTATTTTATTGTTCTTCCAAATGCGATTTTTACCACGTAAGTTTTTAAGCTGTTATTTTATCTGAATAATGCTTAAACATATAATTAACTTAATATAAATATAGTGGTCGGAAAGTATATATTTATCATTATTAATGTTATCGTAAACGTATTTGGATTCCTTCTTTCACAGTTATTTATTATTGTAGGCTTCGCATTATCTATGTAAGTATTTTATTATTTTTAATATTCCTTCTATTTATCATACAAAGCTGATTATTTTATTTTCAGGATGTTTCTCTTACGATTTGGCCCCGGGTTAGGTGTTTTACCTAGAGGATCAACTTATACTGCAACTTTACCAACAATAAACCCCAACAATCAGACAACAAATTCGTCTTTCAATATAACGCAAGATTTGGATTGGAAGGATAATCTAGTTAATTACTATTATACTTGGGATAAATCAATTGAAGCCGTGTATTTTTGGATCGTTGGACGCTGGAATCAGCTCCAATATTGGAAATTTTGGCCAGTTGATCTAATCACGATGCTTGGTGGTATATTAATCGCTACGCTTCTGCAAAATCTTTTGATTGGTCTAATGGGGTAATTATAACTTTTACTTGCAAGTTTTTCGAGAAATACGAGACGATTAATTCTTGATAATATAATCTAGTAAAGCACTGCAAGAAACAGCTCAAGAGAAAAGTGGGGTCGTACAGATGCGTGCCCATCTACTACTCAAATATCCGGATGCATTTTCGCAGATTAGATACGTTTATTATTCTATTCCGGGTGAGGAACTGAAAAAACTAAGAAAAAAACTCTATGATAAAAATATTGACGAATCTTATGAGGAAAGTACGGAAAACAAGATAAAATATATTCAAGATGTTGGGGAAGATACAAAAGATCAACTAGCCCAAGTTAACGAAGCGCATAAGAAACTCGAAGATCGTATGGAAAAATTAGAAGGTCGTATGAAAGGATTAGAAGCAGCTCTTGGTGAAATATTAAAAATATTGAAAAAGGAGTAGCTTAACTTTTTATTAATTCAATAGCCTAAAAAATTGATAAGTATGTTTAGGGAGTGGACAAATACATGGAAACAAATTTCATTTGACTAAAATTATCCGATATTAGATCAGCTATTTCATTAGAAAAGATGTTTGAGGAACCACAGTAAAATCGTAAATCTTGTGCACGAAATATTCTAAATGACTTTTATGCTGAATAGGCACAACTTTATAACCCTTACAACGTGAATTTTGACATTTGTCTCTGGAAAAATCTGATACGTTTAAAAGAAAACTTTTTGCTTTATAGACATACAAACACGCTAATAATATGATTAGTACAAGGCAAACTCGTTAAGACGAAGCCACGCTAAGCCGAAATTGCATTAAGCTGAAGTTTTTCTGGTTTACCAAATTTTTTATTATATGTAAATTCGGCTTTATGCGAAATTTAGTAAAACGAAAATCTCGATAAGCCGAATAAATTGTCTCTGCCCCCGACCTTCGTCTTATTGAGTTTGCCTTGTATTCCCTTTCTATGGTAGCTTTGATCTTTTTGAATAGATCGGGTATATTACTTTATTATGGAACCATACATAGTCATTCCAATTTACATGTACTG